ACGCATGGCGACCGACGTAAACTTGCGCCTGGCGCCCAGGTACCGTCGCACGGCGACGTTCTTACTTACCGAGAAAGGCAATTTTCACGCGTGTGCGAAAAGTCGGGGCGGGTGCAGATGGACGCGGGCTCGCGGTGGAGCGACAGGTCGTTTCGCCATCTCCCCATCCGCATCGTTTCGTGGCTCTTCGTGGTGCTTGTTCAATCCGTCCGTCTTGGAGACCGTTGGAGTTCTTGTGGAGGTTGTGCTCCGTGCTCTTGCTTGGTTAGACTTTGGGAATCGGTATCTCAGGCTTTTCGTCCGGCGATCTGGCGCACGGCACGCTCAGTTGACGTCCACGGTCCTGCATGTCCAGCAGACCCGCCCACTGCATCTCGTCTCCACCGCGGAGCCGCTCCTCACTCCGTACGCAGTGACCGTTGGCCGCCCGCCGTCGTCCGCTACTGCCCGCCCATCTACCTTGACACGAACGCCCATGATCCCCTACTGAACCTGCCTGTCGACGCCCTCCCCCCGCCGACGCCCGCCTCACCATCCGACATTCGTAACCATCCCGACGCGACTGCCAGCGCGCATGCCCCGCTCGAGCATGCGCATGTCGTTCGCACAATCCAGCTCGGAATGTAGGGACGACTCTCGCCGTGTCCCCAGCTCCCCATCCTCGTCACGCCTCGCACAAACCCCACCACACCCCCGAGCCTCCTCGTCCAAACCGTCCAACTCGTCCTCCCGCTGTCCTTCCCCGTCTCGGCCGCGCGCGCTCCTAGCTGAGCGTCGTGTTTCAAGAAGCCAGAGTCTTATTCACGCTGGACGCCCCCGTCCCGAAAAGCTTCGGACATCCTGTCTTTCTTCCCCACAAGATCTTCCTGGCGTCGATCATAATCGACACCGACCTCTTCGATCCAAGGCCGCATCCCCGGCGTGCCGTCACAGCTGCGGAGGTTGCGGAAAGTGTAGCGGACAGTGCAAAGCATCGAGTGGTTCTCGGTAAGCTGCGTTCTATATTTCTTTGCGTTCTGTCACCCTTCCTTCTCCCGCAACCCAGTTCTTCTTGCGCTGTTGTGCTCGCACATATCACTTCTCCCCACTGCCACGTTGTCGACAACATGTTATGGTTCCCTTTGCCTTCGTATGAATGCTCATATGTTCCTCCTCCCCCAGCTCGATGGTTCGCTGGTCCGCCGTCGCAGCGCTCTTTCTGCTCAGCTTGCCCTCCGTGCCTCGTGTGCAAGCGGCAGTTCTGCCGTTTCCTTCGCGCCACGATGCACGCCATTCCGCATCTGCCACTTTGCCTTCTCCCTTGTCCGAAATGGGCGCTTCCTCCACCATTCCCTATTGGAGACGACAAGCAACGGACACCAGCGGGGGCGGGTCGCCGACGTCAACAGCGACGAGTGCAGCGAGCTCTGGGACGGACGCGTCAGCGTCGGTCACGCTCCCAAGCAGTGCGGCCTCTAGTTCGGCTCCCGCCTCGCAGGACCCCACGGACTCCGGTTCTGCGTCGTCGGCAGGTTCGCCGGCGGGTACTCCCACCGCGGTGTCGATGGACACGACCACGGCGGGCTCTGCGTCCGCGAGCGTCTCCCTGGTGCGTTTCTTGGCACATTTCTCGATAAATGCCCCGCTCACATCCTGTGGTTTTTTGTAGTCGACGAGCGTGCCCTCGATTTCGCCAGCATGTCCTCTCACGGACACTCGTCTCACGACTACATAGACATCTGTACGACCGCGACAGGAAATATATTTTGTGCGGGCGCGCGTTCTGCGCTTCGTACGTACCATGCATCACCAGCGTCATTTGCAAGGGTGTGGGCGTGTGTGGGCGCTGCGCGTGGCCGTGGCTCGGACTCAGGCGCGGGCGCGGGTGCGAGCTCGGGCGCGCGGGCTCGGAGTCGGCGTCGGCGTCGGCGTCGGCGGCAGCGGACGGGGTGCCTGATCTGTGCAAGAGGCTGGAGAATTAAAAGCAAACTATGGGAGGGTCGTAGGGCTGTATTGGCGCGGGGAGGGTGGGGTTGCATAAGGGGCGTTGGCTCGGGGAGAGTTGGGACAGAGGACGGGCCTCGGCGGGGAGATCGAGCAGGGATGACATTTCGAGCTCGTACGTGCACACGCTAGTATACACGGAACACCCTAGTGTTTCTGGACTCGCCGCCGCTACGTACAGGGTCGACACGCGCGCACGCGCACTTCGTGTCCGCCCCCAAAATGGCTCGTGTCTATCGCACTCTCCCCGCCGCCTTGCCACTCTTGGCCGTGCCCCATGCGTCGCCGTATTGGAGTACCACATCGCAGCTACGACACCGCGGGAAACCTGTAAATAACACATTAGCGATCGGGGGTTTTCAGTGACTTCTGGACCTGCGCACACTTTGCGCTTCTGCCCGTTGCAGACGATACTCTCTGGACCCTGCGGCACTTGCACACCGGAACTCGCCCACGCCGCCATCCCTGCTATCTAGCATGCACTCACACTTCCACCGGGTTGCTCGGTCTGCGCCGCTGTCCCTTCGACGCACGCACACGCTAGTGCCTCCACCGCACAACCTGCCCCTTGATTTCCATCCCGGGGCGCCTGCCTCACGGTGCGGCTCCACTCGTGCGCAGCTCACGCTGCCCTCACCGCGCGCACACCGACATGTTCGCCGGCTGCAGACTACACGCCGATCGCCTAGAAGACGATCTGTCCGCGGCACCCTTGCAAGCCGCCGCCCACCTCCACTCCAATGCGGAGACGCCTGCATCCTCGCACGGATGCAGAGCCCGTTGTGCGGCAAAGACTCTCACTCACGCGCAACAGCCACTGCACACGAGGGCACTCAACACCCTGAATGTCGGCAAGGAATGCTCGCACCGGCACTCGGAAAGTGAGTTTCCAGCGACGAATGCGCCTGCTCACTTCCGTCCGAGATTCTACCTTGCTTCCGGTGACACTGCGCGCCCGCGGGCCGCACACAGAGGAGCTGCCGAAGGGAGACTCGTGGATGCCAGGAGCGCTGTCGGCCGCGCCAGAGATGATGCCTCTGCGCAGGCAGAGCCAGAAGACATATTCGAGCTACTCACCTCTTCATAGCCGCCGCGCCGCCATCTCCGCCGCGTCCAAACCGCACTCGCAGCCGCAAGACACCATCTACCTCGCCTTCCACCTCCCTCGCACATGCCTCGGTGGGGCGTTGACCACAGGTAGCCGCTACATCTGTACATAGAGAAGGTTGCGCCTCGCGCACGAGCGGGTAAGCATTTCAGACGTCTGCGGGACAACGAATATTGTAAAACCACATATCTTGCAGGTATGCCCCGCGAGCAGCCAGGCCGTACTTGCGCAGTCGATAGCAGTCCCTGCCCACGCTCACAGGGTGCCCTAAAATCATGTAAGCCGAGTACGAGGACGCCGGGTGAGCTGTACTCACATTCCTCTGATGGCAGTCGCCCCTCGCGGACGAGGAAGCCTCTCCAGAGACCAGCACCCTTCCAAGCGGGCAACAGTACCTTTGGCGCGTTTTACGGACGCCAAGGCGCGTGCATTTGAAAGCAGACCCTGCCCATGTCGCAGGGTGTCCTAGAAGCATGTGAGCCGAGTACGGGGCGCTGAGAGATCAGTACTCATGGCCTCCTCCTGCGGCTGCGACCAACGTCCACCTGCGCAATCAACAGAACTTATGGCACACGATACGGACCTCCAGAACAACTCGGGCCTGGCTTCTGCCTCCAGGGCGCGCAGAACATGTGTCAGCTCGGCGCGAACGCAGGAAACCTGTAGTACTCACTTCGAGTCCGCGCTTCGCGGCCCCTGGGTCCAACCAGTACCCCGATTCCGCTCCCGGTCATCCACAAATGGAGGGAAGCCCTGAGAAGCGGCCCTCTCGTGCGCGTGTGCGGGCGTCTCCAAGGCATCTATAAAGAGAACAGCGCATCGCAAACGCGGAATCAAGGGTCAGCCTGGTATTCTCATGATAGCAGGACGGGCCGGCTGACGTACAATGTAGATCTCGTCCTCCTGGCAGCCGTAGTCGTCGCCGGGCGGTGGATGAGATCGGGCTTTCAGGGTGCCCTCTAGCATAGATTAGAAGGCAAATGTGGGCTCTGTTTACAATTTTGGATGCGCAAACTCGGCGTGAGCGTAGTGCGGTCTTCATCGTTCTTGCAGGGCCTCGCTGACCACGACATGCGACAGGAATCGCCATGCAGAACATCTTGTACACCCCGGGACGAAGGTTTGAGCCCGCGGAATGCGCTGCTCAAGCAAGAAGGTCAGCCAGGCATTCGCACTATCACCACCCCAAGCTTCGTACCTTGCATAGATATATGTAACACCCTGCACGCGTCACCGCTCCTCTCGCGGATCACAGCAAGGAGCTCGGACTCTGGGGCGCGCAGTCACGTCGAGAGGAAGCGCCTACCGCGCGGCGGCACCGCGGCTCTCACGAGAGTCTCACGCGCAGGCCTCGACTTCGCGGCCGCAATCCTCTCGTCTTGTGCGCGCGAAGAGATGCCTGGAGTAGTAAGACGATGTAAGTAATGTGTCATTCGCACGCAGACGATCTACTCACCTGGTTCCTCCGTGGTGGCAGTTCGAAAAGAGCCGCCTTGTGGCTGTACGGAGCCCGGCTCTCCGAGTCCTGCGTCCATGATGGGTGTCCTTTGCACGAACACCGTCTCTCATCACTAGAGGTGAGTAAATCCCATTGTAGAGATGACCAGGCAAAGACTGACCGGGTTGTGTTCTGTCGCGTGCGTTCGCACTGCAGATCCAGACAAGATCCGACTGCAGATGCTGTCCGACTGTACCGCACTCGCAAAGTCAAACAGTCCTTCGTGGCAGCCCAACACCTCCAATCGCGCGGTGTCCTGTCGCGCGGTGCGGGATAGGATCCCCAGGAAACACGAGAATCCCGCAAAAGGAGATGCGAAGTCCGGAAGTCGCAGCGTGAGTGCACAGTTCTCACGAGAATAGTACCAGCCCGATTTGCACTCACCAGATCCTGCTGCTCACACTGCAGCTATCTCGCCGACCTCTTGTCCGAGCGTGCCTTTCGCGCCCACGTGCCGCATTCCGTTTGCCACGTGTCCGCGCGGTCTGCGAGCTGGTGAATAGATGCATGCCGGAGACGACTGCACGCACTCCCGCATACCCTCGACCGGGCCCAGCTCCGCAAGCAGATGCTGAGCACACGAGAGACGCGCCTGGAACGTCCCTACTGTAATGTGACATCCGCTGAGACAAATACAGTCCGGTGAGTGCTGGGGTAACGCAGAGGCGACCATTTGTAACTCACAAGGACACCTGGTCTGTATAGATGTGTCCCTGGTGCGCTCATCCTGTGCGTCACGCTCGTCGTGCGTACGCATCGAGTGTTGCCGGGCTTGGTACGCGTCCAAGACGCGATTGTGGCGCGCCGCAACTGGTGTACGCACGGTGAGTGATCCGCTGCCGGTACAGGGACACGTCAAAAACTTACAGCTCTCTGTGCGCCTCGCATGGGCGGCGTCTTGAGAGCGACACTATACCAGCGGCAGGAGGGTGCGCCAGATGTGGGAGGAGGGTCTGGTTCGAGGTGGGGAGGCTGCGAAGCTCTGCGGGGGACGAGGGTGTGGACGTTGGGGGAAGAGGGTGCGCTGGGGTGTGACCCTGATCCATTCCACTCCAGTGCAACCAAATTGGCATGGCGGCGGGCGCATGCGGGCGCGATTCAACGCGCTGCGCGCTCGCAAACAGTCACCAGGTGAGTATCTCGAATTTCCATTCTCACTCATTTAGGCTACCGCCTGTGACAGCTATGGCCCATCCACAGGCGTTGTGGGGCTCCGTCGTTGACAGGTGTCGTCGAAGGAAGGCCACGAAGCCTGTGGGTTGGCCTGGGTCTCTACCTTCTGACATTTAGCAGCATGTGTGAATATTTCAAGACATGCGCCACTCTGGCAGGCATATTGTGTGCAGCAACTCAAATTGGGATGTCCGTCTATCATCCCTGGGTGAGGCTGAGCGTCAAGTGCTCTGTGATATTTCTGAGATGTCTGAATAGGCTGGGGGATCCCCTTGAGTTTGACAGAGTGATTTCTGGATGTCTGAAATGAGCGACCACGTAAACATGTCTTGTAGCAGCCCCAGATATATTTGAACTGCAGAACATAAGTCTACCATACGTCTAGAGTGTGCTGTACATGGATTACGACATGCTGCAAGCGAGGGAACGAGCGGGCATCGATCGCGGACAGGTCGGAGCACGCCGTGCGAACCCCAACACTACACCCCAAATTCCCACATCTTTTCTATGATTCGACGGGAGGTGTCCGTTTGCCGGGAGAACGTCGAGAGCTTGTACATAGAATGCGTACACATTGGCTGCAAAATATCAGTCTGCACCCGGCCGACCGCCTGCTCGAGAACAAACCCATTTGCTAGCTTCTGCACGAGCCCATGATTCGCTCGTAGCACTCCGTCGTGCAGCCGAACAATCACGTCGCCCACACCGCACACTTACGAGACTGCTTGAGGCTCCTTCGATTTCCTGTCCCGCCCCGACGTCGGCTCTACCTATGAACATGGATCTCCGTCCTGCATGGGCCAGGTGCTACCCGCCACTCCCTACGCATTAGAGCATACCCCACACAAAACGAGATAGTGCTATCTGTGCGCACAACACAGCCGTGAACCACGCACCTGGCCCCGCACGACGCAAAACGCGAACCACCGAGACCACGCCCACAAAAGAACCGAACGGGCCACGATCGCGAGAGCGCCGCCCGTCCCGCACGTCGCCCTGTCGTGGAGTCGCCAGCGCCTCCCCTCCTAGGCTCTGCCTAAGCCCACCAGAACTCGGCCCAGACGCCACAGCACCCTCGCAGCACCTCAGCATCCGCCTCCCTCCCCTTAGAGCGCCTCACACAGCGCCTCTTTTCCATCATCAACCTCGCCACTCTGCCCCTCCCTAGCGCCCTTACGGGCGCCCTGCCTCCCGGTATCACCGGACTTCCATCATACTCCCTATGTCACTCCCTACGTCACCACAGTCATTACGATTACTATAGCACCCTGAAGGACGTCATAGGTATTAGTCTAGCTACAGGTCACCTGATCGTTGGTCACATGCTTCATACTCACCCTAGGTACCAAACACGTACAAATAGGTACCTGGTCTGTGCGCACCTGCTCCAGTATATAGGCAGAGTAGATCCTGCACCTGTTCCCCATCTCGACCTCTTAAGTCAGTTGGGGACAGGTAAGC